ATTTTTTTCTTTTCGTTTTTCTTCTGGGTAGATAATTATCCAATTAAAGTATGATTTTGTTTGTTTGTAACATTTCTCCTTAAAGTGGTTCACAGAATGTCCCCATTCGTAGCAGCAAATAACAAAAGTAAAGTAAGATAGGCAGAAAACCGAGAGTACAGTGTGTCCATTTAGTGTATGATTTCTGAGGTTTTATAGCTGAAGGTTGTGTTCACACAGGTCCAAACCTAAACTCCATGTGACAGCCATCCTGACTGTTTGAATTACGAGACAATACCATCCTTCAGAACATTTGCTGCTTTGTTCCTGAAAAATGACTGTTATTGTTTTTGTTGGCGTTTCAAAGGATTTGCTAGTCGGATTCAAGCAAAAACAAATAGTTTTAGAGTGTGCCATTTTCCCCCCCTGTCTCTGCTGCTGTGTGAATTCAGACGTTCTTCCTCCTCTTCTATTATGATTATTTTCGTTTGATTTCTGTTTGCTCTGGCCGGAAATCAGCTTTAGCATTGAACGTCATTGGAGCTTTATCTCTGAGATTTAAATTTGCTTAGAACATTTTATCTATGTTTTTTATTGGGTATCTTGTCACCAAAAAACATATATATGTGGTAAAAAAAAAAAAAAAAAAAAACTTTTGAGAAAGTCTCTATTAACCTTTCATTAGGGTTTCCATTGGATGATTTTCTTTTTCTGTTTAATTTTAATGGCACTGAAGAAAAGACCCTTCCTCGCCCTGGTGCTCTCAGTACTCTATAAACACATGTGTTTCCTTCTTAATCCCTGAAATTATTTTCTTTTCTATGTTCTTTATCAAACTCTGGACACCTTTCAAAAATCCCAAACAAAGTAAGCGCCTTGTTTTCGTCATTCATATTTGTTTTTTGAAGCATTTGGAATCAAACATTCCAACTTCACAGCTGAGAGGTTGAACTTTATCATTATGCCATTAACAAAATATAAGCTTTCTAATGATGTATAATGTTGGAAAAAGTATAACTGTTGTTATTTCCATGAATATTGTTGTGTTTAATGGATTTTAAGAGGCTAAACAAATAGTTTTTTTTAACTTTGACTTAAAAGAACTCAGGCTTTTAGGACTTTTACAGTCTTCTGGGAGTTTTTTTTCCAGATCAGTGGAGAATAAGAACTAAATGCTGCTTCTCCATGTTTAGTTCTGCAGCAACACACATAAACAGGCAAAAATACTATTAATATATATTTAAGGATATAAAAAATCTGAAATAAACAAAAGACAGTTATATAGAAAAAACATTGCGGCAGATAATAAAAAAACAAGAACAGTATGACATTAGATTAATCATTACACATTTTCCCCGACTGGCAAAAGTGGACCTGGACCTTGTTAATAAGGTCCACAGCAAATTCAAGGAAGCAGTTTTTTGGCAGGAGTGTCTGGTCCTCATGGACAGTCGGAAACAGTTTTTTCTGTTATCTAGGGGTTCGATGATGAACTGAATTGAATTATTACCGAAAGATAACACTGATTAGAAGGGGAATTTTACTCAAATGTCAAGTCTAAAATAATCTAAATCTAAAAGAAAACCAAAAACACCTTGCTTCAAAAATAAAGAGCATCACAATATGTTAATTTAAAAGCAACTAATAGCCTCTATAATTGTTTAAACCCTAGGTCTTTCATTAAAAAGTAAGGAAACATATAAAATTTCAAAATTAAAAAACCAGTAGCTTTTTGAGAAAGTTCAATGTTGTAAATACAAATCTGACATACATCCTAATGCTTTAAGTTCTTACAATTGTTGATAAAAAATATTGTAAAAGAAGCCACATATTAACAAAAAACCAGAGAATAGCCGATGCAGAAACTACAAAATCTTTTAACAGCAAACAGCATTACAAAGGGAATGATCCATAAATAACAATCCTGCATAAGAGACCTATAAACAAAACTGAACGTGAAAAAACAAAAATACACATGGTAAAAACCAGGATGCTAAATGGTAAATGGGCCAAAGCTTTTTACACTACATTCAGTTATTCACCTATTCAATCACACACTGATGGTGGCAAGCTATGTAGATGGTAGCCACAGCAAGGCTGCTGTACACTGGCCCCATTGGGCCCTCTGACAACCATCGGTAGGCAATGACTAAATTGAAACTCAAGGAATGGGTGCAGAAGGAATTCTCAAGAAGGAAATGGAACCAGTTTGGTTTGGAGGAAATTAAAACCAAATGTTCAGAGTGTGCAAAAACAGGAATTACAAAAAGAAAATGAGTAAAAAGTGAGTAAAAACTGAACATTACGTAAGGTAACATGTGATTTTACAGTTTGCATGGGTTTGGCTATACAAGTCCACAAACTTGCTTTTTAACTAGAAACAAGCAAAAAAATATATATATATTTGCATAAAGCACACCAGCTTTCTGTGCAGGTGGAATTAGTTTTATATAACACGGAATGATTAGTTCTTGCCTTCTGGTATTGTTATGACTTCAGTCATGTAGACTTAATATTATGACATAGTTTTCATAATATTTTGACTGTATCCTGCTAACTTTACAACGTTTCTATCATATATTGAATATGACTTTACTCTCATATTATTACTTTATCTTTGTACTAAAGATTAGACCCTAATACTGTAAAAAGCAGTTTTTTACTTGAGAACTGAATTCAAGTTTGTAAATCTATCTATCTATCTATCTATCTATCTATCTATCTATCTATCTATCTATCTATCTATCTATCTATCTATCTATCTATCTATCTATCTA